TCATCATCAAAAACAATCTGTTAAGTTATTAACTGGTTGAACAAAAACAAATAATGCTGTCACTTTGTTATCTCAATTACAAGACAAGGAAGTATTTTTAATGGTTGCAGTTTTCTCAGCAAGGTTTTGTGCAAGAAAAATCATGTACCTCAAATTTATTTAAAACTATGGATATAATTAGGTATGAATTATCAATGGGTCATTTTATTGATGTGATTTATCTTGATTTTGCTAAAGTTTTTGACAAAGAGGCACATTGTAGATTGTTTAAAAAGCTAGTGGTGTATGAGATTAGAGGAAAACTGTTTGTAAGGATCAAAGCATTTCATAGCAACAGAAGACAATAGGTAGTTTTTGGTGATGTAGTTTCTGATTCAGCTAATATCGCGAGTGGTATAACTTAGGGATCTGTTTCAGGTACTTAACTTTATGTCATTTATATAAATGATTTGCCCAAATTTGTCAAGCTTTATGCTGATGAGAGCAAAATTATCCCATTGTTGATAACAAAAATGATGTCAAAACATTACAAAAAGATTTAGATAGAGTAGTTGAGTGGTGCGATTCTTGGCTAATGAAATTGAAAGCTAACAAATGCAAGGTACTGCATTTTGGAAATAAAACTTTACAAGCAACCTATACAATGCCTAAAAAATTAACATCAAGAAGAATAACATTAGAAAGGAAGAACAAAAAAGATTACAGGTAATAGAAACAATGAGATTAAAAGAGCGGAAAAAAGAGAAGACTTACTTTAAATATGCAAGTTTGTAATAAGGTTTCTATTTAGTAAACTAGCATAAAGCTCCATATATGCACATCCGAGGTTACTTAATGTGCTACTTTTGTTGTATCATTAGTTGCCAAAATTTAGGAACATGCTCTGGATGACCTAGCACTGTCTGGCAGCACAATCAGAAAATCTAGAACTCCCAAACTGATGACAGAGACAAGTAAAAACAGCTTGGGATGACAAATTACTTCCAAATAATGCAGATACAAAAGAGGCTGTAGACCAAATTGTAACGAGAGATAGAATTGAGAAGCTGGTGATTCTGGTGAAGCTGGTGATAGAGATAGAATTGAGAAGCTGGTGATGTAAGAGGTACTAGAAATGAACAAGCAACTGCTTGTCTAACATTTTGAATGAATGAAAGTAGTGCAATAAAGTGCAGGGTTTGGTATTTGATACTACATCCTCAAACATCTGAAATAATAAGAGAGTATATGTCATCATCAAAAAAGTTTTTGACAAAACAAGTTCACTTTGTCATAAACTTGTCTACATCAGTTATCAATACCGCATTTTGGTAATCATTTTAAGGAACAAATTTTTGTTCATTTTGTTTTATTTCAAAAAGTTATGACATTTCATATTTTAAAAAATAAAACAAACTTATAGCAACCCTTTCCTAAATATTGTTTAAATAGCAAACCATCGGAATTACAAAAATTGAGGTCGGCATAATTTGCCGACCTCAAGAAAAAGAGGTCGGCATAAGGTCAGCAAATACAAAGGTCTTACCATAAAACATCAAAACGAGGTTGGAAAAACCTAATTTTTTTTGCCGACCACAAACACGTTTAGGTCGGCAGTTTGGTCGGCATTGCTAAATGCTGACCCTAATTCCGAGGGTTGATTAGTTATATTTTTTTTTTGTTAGCATATAATAACCCATGTTTTATGAGTTGTAATATGCTAAAATGAAATTTTTTTGAGAAATGAAATTAAAAAAAAACTTTTGAATAGAAAGTGACCGGGGCCCCAGTCTCGGCCCCATTCCCAGCTTAAAATGAGACTTTTTTCAAACCAGGACCCGGCAAAACTATAAGATTTAGTAGGGGTTGATAGTTGAGGCTAGAAAAAAATTTATAATACCTTATATATTATAATTTTATTCTTACATTTACTATTTGTTAAATACTGGCATATATTTATATATTTTCAAACTCTAATTTACTTCCAACAAGATTACAAGTAACAACTATAAAGGTATGAGTTACTTTAAAATAGAGAATAAGTAAAAATACTATGAAATGGCTAACTGAAGACTTAATTAATTGTAGGTTGTATATAAAAAAAAAAACATAAAGATGGCTAAGAGTTTTAAGGTTTTTTTGATGTGCAAGGAAATTGGATTAATAAAACCAGTTTTATTAATCCAGTGCAAAACCGCGTAACTAACATTAGATAATACCGTGTATCTACAGTACATTTTTTTTACTGGAGAAGTTTAAAATTTTATACATTTTTTATTTTAACTGATTTTGGGTTTATTTTAGTATAAAGAGTATTATTCATGTTTTTTGTAATCTCAACAATAAATGTTTGGTGTTAAAATTGATAATACCCAAATATAGTAACCAATGCTAGTTACGCTGATTTGCACTATCCTGACGATATAAAGAAAGATACATTGAAAGGATGAAACTTGTTGAATAAGAAGCCAAGCAAAAATGAGTTTTGGTTTATTATAGAGAGATGATAGCTCGTTTAAAG